TCATCACGGCTGTTGTGAATATCATTCACTGGAACCTCTGAATTCTCATGAGCTCGCACATCAAAGCGAGCCGACAGGGACGTCACTTATGACCAACTCAGAGCGTCCGAAATTTCAAACAGCGTTAGATTAATGTGAGTTTACATCGTGTGATTTTTGTGCTGTTCTTTGAAGTTGGTGCCATATTTATGATTTATCGATCGGACCGCAGGAGCCAGACTGCTGTAAATGTCTCATATATATCTGTTCGTTTCATGTAAAGCTTGTTTTATGGTATAATGATCGTACCTGCTTATCAAAGCTTATCTTATTAATCAGATCACTTTAGTCAGATTAATATAGCAGCAGACTGATCTACTGTCACTGAGTCTGTTTACACAATAATCTGATAACTGCAGAAAATCAGATTGTGTCAGTAACTGGTTCAGTGTGTTTACACTTAATCTGATAACTACAGAAATCAGATTGTGTCAGTAACTGGTTCAGTGTGTTTACACTTAATAATCTGATAACTGCAGAAAATCAGATTGTGTCTGTAACTGGTTCAGTGGGTTTAAACTTAATAATCTGATAACTGCAGAAAATCAGATTGCGTCAGTAAGAGGTTCGGTGTGTTTTCATGCTCTTGGGTAATCAGATAATGGGGAAACTCCGGGTCTACAAGAGTCAGATAGTAATCAGATTCCTGCTTTACAACCAGCCGATAAACTCACAGAATAAAACGTGACATAAACATGATGTAAAACTCAAACATCACGAGCAGCTTATTTTAAAACAATCGAGTCACTTTAGCTGAAAATATGAACTAAAGGTGTTCTACAGGAAACTAGTGGTCTCTATTGGAAACCATTAAGCCAATTTTTATTAGAAAGCAAAACCATTAGGTTTTATCCATAGTGGTTTCTAAGGGTCCTTTTTCAGCAGGGTTCTAAGAGTAAGATGAGAAACCTGACTGGAGTACAGTTACAATAAATTAAGTCAAACTGAATCTCTGAACAGCGTCTGTCCTGAAGCTGGAGGTCTGAGTTAAAGTGCCAGTATAATGAGAGAAATCTGTAACTCACAGAGGTGTAGACTCGAGTCAGACTCGAGTCACGAATTTGATGACCTGAGACTCGACTCGACAAAATCGAGAAAGACTTGGGACTCGACTTTTGAACACCAATGACTCAGACTCTCAGGCTCATGACTTGGAAAGTTTTGAGACGTGGAGAGTCAGACTGCAGACAAGACTCTACACAGTTGCTTACTGTTCATGTGAATGGATTCGTTTCCTGCCCTATATATTTATAAGTTTAATAGTACTTTCAAACTTTTTTTCATGTGTAGTCGTGCTGCTCTTTCTGTACAACATTCTGTCGGCCTGTTATTTGTGCACCATGGATTTTGTATTTTATTTGTAAAGGTGGAAAAAAAATGACTTAAAAATGAATATACAGCTGTCTTACTGTTACCATCATTTTTGGGTTTCAGTGTTTTGGCCTTAAATTAGCTGAAGAATGCAGGCTGACTTGTTTAGGACTTGAAGATTAGGACTTGGGACTCGATTTGAGACTCGCCTATACTGACTTGGGACTCGAGTGTCAAGACTTACTTTTGTAACTTAGCGACTTGTTTTCAGCTCTGGTAGCTCCAGAGGTGCCACACACATTTGAAATAAACCTGTTGGCACAAATCTGTGAGTAACCACTCCTTCATCTGCACTGAACCTCTTTACTCGCACAGAGCAATGATAAAACATCCATCAGCTGAAGTCATTTCCTCTCTGGACCATCGTTTATTCAGAAAAGACTGCGTCCTCTGGGTCTCACTGTCACCTCATGTTCACTCCGCTGTGGCCCGTTAGATTTACAATCAAAACTCAGAAATATTTTCGGAGAATTTTTGTTTTGCTGCAAAGTGATTTATTTGTGTTCGCTCTCACTGCGCAGAGTCCAGAGCCACTTTAAATCACACAGCCTCATAAACGGAGCCGCCAGAAAGACTCCAGCGTCTCTTCGTGACCGAGTTCAATTTCGCTTAGCACTGCTCTTTATGCACCTGTCGTTTTTCAGACACCTGTCATCTGTCATTTCCACTGCACTGCTGGCTGAGAGTTAGCGCTGTGCTGGTGTGTGAGCGGCTCAAACGTGCCCTGTGACTGAAATCGCCATGTGTTTCAGAGCTTTCTGACCACAGCCACCTCATCGTTAGAGTTGTTGCCTGTTTAGTACACGTTTCTAACAGTGGACAGCAGAGGCGGCTGTGTTGAGGCTGGGCGAGCAGCTCACGCTAGCGCAGGACTGCAGCAGGTGTCAGTGGAGATCAGTGTCCAGGGCTTCTGACCCTATCGGCTTCCTCCCTGCTGAACGTGTAACAGCAGCCTTACGCTCACGTGAGGGTTCTGTCTCCCTCCACGTCACTCTCTGTAAACACGTCAGTCCGGTTAGTAAATGGAGATGAAACTGCTGTGATTTACAGAAGCTGCTCATGTGTTTCAGTGTGGTTTGTAAAGGTCACACTCTGTTTTCCACGTATCTCAGTCTGTAAAAGGCCTGTAAACATGTTGAGCAGTGGATCAGGTTGCCAGGGCATGTGGACGGCAGGGCCTACTGTATGTGGGAGCCTGGAGGCGGGTTCTGTGTGTGGGAATATGCCTTTGTTAGCTTATGAAACGCTGAGGGGTCAAATTAGCGTGTGCTGTGATCACAGTCTGAATGAGTGGAAGTAACGGCCAGGAGGCTTCGCCAAAAAATTGCCACTGAACAGACAGACTTTCCCGTAGAAACTTTGTTATAGATCATACAGAAAGTAGGAAGATGTCTTGGTTCAATTATTTTTGATGGACCGCCAGCGGTCCGGCCTTCATGAGTCTTACTGAGTCACTGATTGATCGATTGACTGAGTCCTTTGTTAAAATGTGTATACAAATATTGACCTCTGACCCCAACACTATCATCAGAAGACTTTTAAATAATGGAAGGAAGAAAATAAAGTGGAGCTTACAGATGAAATAACAGCGCTGAGAACTTATAATAATAAGATAAAGCTGAATTAAAGAGCCGTAGGGTTTTACTGAAGCTCTGAGTTAAATTAGACATTATTAAATATAGTAAGTAAGTAGTAAGTGACGTTTATTTCTATAGTGTTTTTTACAACAGGTGTTGTCACAAAGCAGCTTTACAGAATAAAATCAGCATTACAGAAAAAAATCTGGGTCCAAACCCCCATTAGCGTCGCCAGTGGCGACAGTGGCAAGGATAAACTCCCTAAGAGCAGGAGGGAGAAACCTTGAGAGGAACCAAGACTCAGAAGGGGAACCCATCCTCCTCTGGTCGACACCGGATAGCAAACATTGTTAGTACAAGGTATTGTAGTGCACAATGTGGAAAACAGGTGGAGCAATGGTTAAATTGATTAGTTTAGCAGCAGCAGCAGCATCGGGAGGGTCAGTTTGTGAGGGTGAGGTTGTATCGTGATATCTGAGCTTGTATGTGTCAGTTTTACAGTGACTCAGTAAAGAGTGTCATAGAGCTGCTGCCGCTGTTTTACATTTCTAACAGCTAACCAGAACCTGCTTAGACTACAGCTCATATTCACAGTCAGTGATGTATCTAGAACCTCCAAAAGGACTAGAGTGATGTTTTTAGGTCCTACACACTGTAAATCAATTTGATTGATTGATTCCTCTGTCACTTCCTAATTTAGCTCACACGTCAGAGGGAGATGGTTGAGTCCGTCAGAAAGGGATGTTAATTTATGACCAACTCAGAACGTCTAAACTTTCAAACATGATCAGATTAATGTGAGTTTGTACTGTGTAATTTCTGTGCTGTACTTTGAAAGTGGCGCTCTTTTTTTATGATGCTGTTTTTGGTGTTGAAGCCGTCGATCTGACCGCAGGAGCCAAAGTGCTGTAAATGTCACATATATGTCACTCACTGATGTCAAGATTCAGTCGGGTTTTATGTTGCTAATTAAGGGCTTTTTAGAAGAGGAGGAACTTCTATAGCTGCTGAAATATTCAGCAGAGCTGCAGGTGGTGTGTTTGCAGAAGCTCCGTGGCTGGACGCTTGTGTACTGCAGCTAAATGTCTGTAGAAAAAAACAAAAACGCTTTGGATATTCAGACGCTGCTTGAGGATTACGAGTATAAAATTTTTCACATGTTAAAGTAGAAATTATCACTGATTTAAGGCTTAAAGCTCTGAATCTTAGAGAAGCTTGGATCCGACCTGAAGAGCAGTTCATTAACCTTCTGCTCGTCTACGTCTCAGTAAAATTATAATTGCTGGAGATTTTATGTGATTTCTGTGATGGCCGTGATCTGCTGAGGACCGTGATCTGCTGAGGATGGTTCAGGTTTATTCGTCTCCTCTTTATTCAAAGTGAGAAGAGTTTGGACTGTGCGAGCTGAAAAACTGAGTGGACAGACTGTCCTTATAAATCATACAGGAAGTAGGAAGACGTCTTTGTTAAGGTATTTTTGCTAGACAGTCCAGCAGGCCAGCCTAAGTGAGTCGATGCCTCTTACTGAGTCGCTGACTGACTAATTCATTGTTAAAATGTGTACCAGTGTTGACCTCCCACCTCCAACACTCCCAATATTAGACTTACAAATAATGGAAGGAAGAAAATAATGGAGGAAAATGAAGGAAGGAAGCAGAAGTGTATTCACTGAAACACATCTTGGTTTTGGTGATAAAATAACGCAGCAGTGAGAAACTCTAATATGAGCTCGAGCCATCGGACTGCAGTTAGAACTGTTTCCTGTATCTTACTGTATGAGTAGCTCTGTGGAGCTGTTTGACTGTTTGTGTGAAGATACGGTCACAGAATGGAAACTGGAGTAAAAATTTTCTGATGTGTCTGTCAGTATTTAAAAATTATTACTTTATGTTACAATTATTCAATTTATTCATTGATTACAGCCATAAAATGAGCTTTATTTGCACTTAGTTTCACGCTTTGAAGAGAAACTGTACTCCTGGTGCCTGATTCTGAATAACTGTAGACGTGTGTGTGTGTGTGTGTGTGTGTGTGTGTGTGTGTGTGTGTGTGTTTGAGTAGAAATCATCTTCAGTCTGATGAATATGTTGCTGTTATTATAGTTTAAATGCAGCTGTAGCACTAAATCTAGTCTTCATTCCAAACACAGCATTATATAGAATTATAACGTTTCCTAGAAAAGTAAATTTCCTTAAGAAAATGTTGGATGTCATAGCAACCACCAAACAACACCTTAGCAAACCTTTGGGATACCATAGCAACCAACGTGATTGCTAGGGTGTTGCTGGATGGTTGCTAGGGTGTTGCTAGATGGGTTACCATGGTATCCCAGGTAATTTTTAGGGTGTTGCAAGGTGGTTGCTATGGTATTCCCTGTGGTTGCTAGGGTGTTTACATGAACATGTATTGGCAATTTGGCTCAGCTGCATCTACCCAGACACTGTGGAGAAAACAATCAGATTAGATCATTTTCTGCTGGCTGATGTAGAAACACTGTGAATGCTGTGCAGCCGGTGTCGGTCCAGTAAAGCTGGGCTTTTCTAGTCTAGATGTTAAGAGTGTACAGCTGGTCTGACTCGGGCTGGGTGAACTGCGTATAATGTATGATATGTATGTGTAATTCTCCGTCTGTCTGTCTGTCTGCAGTTATCCAGTTTGGCTTTGTGACGCTGTTCGTGGCCTCGTTTCCGCTGGCCCCGCTGTTCGCTCTCCTCAACAACATCATCGAGATCCGTCTGGATGCCAAGAAGTTCGTGGCGGAGCTCAGGAGGCCAGTAGCAGCTCGAGCAAAAGACATCGGTGAGTCTGTTCAGCGTGTCCTCCTTCACCGTCTGACCTTTCCATCATCAAATCACATTCCACAGTTATAATTCTAGATTTGATTCCATTTCTAGTGACATCATTGCATTAAGTGCATGTAATGTTGTTACTGACTGGCAGATGATTTCATTTTAAAGGAGTTTGGAAGCTGTTTTTGGTCACTGTGAACAACAGATTTTTCTCTGATACAGTGTCACCAAGTGGTGGATCATAAACACCCAGCATACAGAAGCCCAGTAGTAATACAGCGAGCTGGAGCTTCACTCTGTGTTCAGCATGTTTTTATGATCTGTTATCTCTGAATTTCAGGTATCTGGTATAATATTCTCAGAGGAGTTGCAAAGATAGCAGTTATAGTGAATGTAAGTATATTTTGTGTTTCCATAAAATCGAATGTTTTCTTTTTTGCTAAAGTGGGACGCTTAAGATCCTCCGTGTTTATGTGTGTTTATTCTTCAGAGATCAAACGCTGTTACTGAGTTCATCTTGTGGAAGTTAAGTGTTGAACTGATAGGGCTCTGTGTTTGTGATGTCACTTCTGAGGGAGGGGCTTAGACCACTTTAATACCAGCAGTAAAATAGCAGTTGCAAATGCAAAGAGTGGTACAGGTTTTTGTTCGTCAGTGCCTAAAATAACACTTATATCCTTTTATACAGGTCGGCACAGAACCCATAAACGTGTTACTTCAATAATTTAAAAGAATATTAAAACGTTGCTCATAACGTCAGACATGCCAGTAAAACGCTGCACTCAGAGCAGCACTCAGTACAGCGTGTCCGCCATGCTGGTGAGGTTCACGCTGAGTGGTTATGTGTTCAGGAAACCTGTCACTCCAAATCAGCTGACCGATAGAAAGTGCAGGTGAACGCCCTCTTCTAAGACCCACCCCCTGTTAAAAAATGCCAAAGGTCAGAAGCAAAAGAATGATTCCAGAAGCAAAATATATATCAGCAAAAGTAAAAAAATGAAGGCAAAAATTGGCAAAATGAGAATACATTTATATCCAATTAGCAAAAATGAGTAGAAATCTTTTTGAAAAAATAAGTTTGATTTAACTCTCATTATTTGTATTTGAACACATCTGACATTTTGATATTCAATATTTTGCTTGTGGATTTTATAATTTTATTGTAAACTTTGGGCAAAAATGAACTCCATATTTCTCCATCCTGTCAGGAGGAGATCCAGAGCTGATCCTCACTCAGCTATTCAAAAACCATAAAACAAACAAAATGTATTCAAAAACATGCTAACGAACCCCCTCTGTCGAGTAAAGAGTGAAGAAATGAAGTGTCTCACTTTGAGAGAATTCAGACTCATCCTGTCCGTGTTTAGTGTTTCTTGGTTTTTGCTGTTGAACTGTGTGAGGGTAACCATAAACGAACAAAAAAAAACAAACAACTGCATATAAAATACTAAGAATAAACACACAAAACAAGAGAACAAACACTGCCAGGCAACACAAGGGGTTTAAATCACATGTCAGGCTCCAGTCCTGTCTTCAACTCGTGCCTCATCAAACACACCTGATTCAGCTCATCAGCTAATTAGACCTTCATGAACTGAACTCAGAGTGTTAGATGAGGGTAAACACTGATCTCCACAGCACTTCAGCCCAGAGGGTCCCCAGTTTGACACGCCTGGTCTAAGTATAGGAGTAAAACAAACAACAAACACCTGAAACACTTACAGGGCGGGGCTACAGATCAGATACAGATGAGGGGCGTGGCTAAAGCGTGGAGCAAAAAACAAAGCAAACAAAAGTGCATGACCAGATACACAAGGGAGAGGGATGGACAGAAAAAGAGAGGAGCAAAATATTTCACACTTTTTTTCACTCTAAATACTCATTTGAATTTTAAGTTCCATTTTAAATGGAGCTGCAGTTACACTGTGCAGTTACAATAAAGGCACTAATTTACCTCAATAAATACATTAATTTACCGCAATAAAAGCTCCTTAATCAACAAACCCCTCAAACTTCCTCTTGGAGGTGTTTAATGAGCAGCTAACGAGCAGCACAGCAGAGCAGCTGTTGAATGTGTCTCACTGGCTGATCTAACGCTGCGTCCCAAACCGCACATTTCTGTGCTTCGCCTACTGCACTAATGAGTGCACTTCTAATGGGACATGCACTGTTTTTACACACTATTTAGTGAGCTAGTGTGCGGTTTGGGACGTTGCGCTAGTAACACAGCGGGAAATCTCAGCTGTTTAGATTTCAGCTTTCATTTGTTATCATAACAGCAACAAATCAAATAAAATCAGGGCAACACACTCAAATATATCAGTTAATATGCTTTAAAAATGAGATTTAAAAAGTGATCCAAAAAAAATGTTTTACTGCCTTTGTTAGATCAGTTAAAGGTTTATCTCAGTACAGACACAGCACTGCTGAGTGAACTTAATGTTGCTACTAAAATGGTGGCAGCGCGATTGTGACATCATTAGAATATTTTCAATTATAATAGAATGATTATTTCACAATAATAATAATATAATAATAATAATAATAATAATTATTATTATTATTATTGCTTTCCAACATCCTACACTGTTATAAATAAAAGTTCTGTTCAGGTACAGTTTCATCATCAAGGTACAAACAGTGTAAATGTTCCCTCAAAGCTCCAACAGTGGTTTTAAGGTCTGATTGTGAACCTTAAATAAGTTTCTCCAGGTGAAAAGTTCGTATTTGTACCTTTTCATAACCGAATGTTTTAAACAGAACAGTAAAATAAAAGCCTGGAGACGAGACGGGGTGTGTGGAGTCAGTACAGCTTAGAACATATCATTTCAGTGGATTATGGTTCAGTTATGTTCCCTGACTAAAGGTACTGAGATGGAGCCTTGAGGGTTCCACCCCAGAGACAGTTTAGTACCTTTAATTCTGAGAGTGCAGCAGTAACATCATCACCTCTATTTACTGCCACTGTTTATAACTCAGCGTGACATCGCATTTATCGGGGGCGTGTATGGTCAGTAGATCCTCCGCAGGTCCATGTGTTTGTGGTTTATTTATTGCAGTAGGAAGTTGACGTCCATCTCTGTTTCACTGTGACATCCTGACCTGCAGAGTGCCGAGATTTTAAACCCTCTGAAGATTTATTTATTCTTGGTTACGTTAAATCTTATTTAGATATTTTCCACGTGATCAGGTCAGTGATCATCTGTTGGAGAATGCAGAATTTTAGTCTGCAAGAATTTTACCTGTAAATTAGTCACAGAATCAGTGTGTGTGTTTTCAGCTGTTGAAGGTGTTTCTGCCGTGTGTTTCAGGCCTTCGTTATTTCCTTCACCTCCGACTTCATCCCTCGCCTGGTGTATCAGTACATGTTCAGCCCCGATGGCTCCATGCACGGCTTCGTCAACCACACGCTGTCCTACTTCAACGTCAGTCACTTCCAGAATGGCACAGCGCCCCTAGAGCCGGAGAACCTGGGCTTCTCCGTGGACATCTGCAGGTAAAACACGCTGCTCTGCTGACCACTCTGCTGACCACTCTGCTTCTCTTCAGTCACTCAGAGCAGAAAGGATAATCAGCAGGAGCTCAACTCAGTAACATCTGCTTACCGTACACAGCGTCACTGTACACACTCACTGGAACAAACCTGTCTGTTCTAGATACAGGAACATGTTACTGTCCATTAGAGGAAAATATAATCTTAGCGCTGATTCTCTGATGTAGGTCTGTGTTGTGTTTACTGTGTTTGTGACAGATGTTCCAAACTAAACTCTGATAACTGCTTGAATCTTAAATCCTTTAAAGAGTTCCCTATGAGTCGTTCTTTCAGGACTTCTGTATGAGTCGTTCTTTAAAGAGTTCTCTATGAGTCGGTTCTTTAAAGAGTTTCATAGGATTCGGTTCTTTAAAGAGTTCTGTATGAGTCGGTTCTTTAAAGAGTTTCATATGATTAATTCTTTAAAGAGTTCCGTATGAGTCGTTCTTTAAAGAGTTCTGTATGATTTGGTTCTTTAAAGAGTTCTGTATGAGTCAGTTCTTTGAAGAGTTCCATATGATTCATTCTTTAAAGAGTTCCATGTGATTTGGTTCTTTAAAGAGTTTCATATGATTAATTCTTTAAAAAGTTTCCGTATGAGTCGTTCTTTAAAGAGTTCTGAATGAGTCGTTCTTTAAAGAGTTCTGTATGAGTCGGTTCTTTAAAGAGTTTCATATGATTAATTCTTTAAAGAGTTCCATGTGATTTGTTTCTTTAAAGAGTTCTTTATGATTCAGGTTTTTAAAGAGTTCCGTGTGAGGCGGTTCTTTATAGAGTTCTGTGTGAGTCATTTCTACAAACGTGGCTGTGTTTGACTCTGGGTTTTGCTGAATGTGCAGGTATAAAGACTACAGAGAACCGCCGTGGTCTCCGACGCCGTATGAGATGTCTAAACAGTTCTGGGCGGTTCTGGCTGCAAGACTTGCCTTCGTCATCGTCTTTCAGGTTAGAATACACACACACACACACACACACACACACACACTCACTAACACACACACACACACACACACACACTCACACTCACTAACACACACACACACACACACACACACACACTCACTAACACACACACACACACACACACACACACACTCACTAACACACACACACACACACTCTCACACACGCACACACACACACACACACACACTCACTAACACACACACGCACACTAACACACACACTCAGTAACACAGACACACACACTCACTAACACGCACACACACACACACACACACACTAACACATACACACATACTCAGTAACACACAGACACACACACTCACTAACACGCACACACACACACACACACACACTCACTAACACACACACACACACACACACACACTAACACATACACACATACTCAGTAACACACAGACACACACACTCACTAACACACACACACACGCACACACACACACACACCACACACACACACACTCACTAACACACACACACACTCAGTAACACAGACACACACACACACTCACTAACACACACACATGCACACTAACACACACTCAGTAACACAGACACACACATACTCACTAACAAACACACACACTAACACACAAACACGCACACACTAACACACTCATTAATACACACACACAAACACACATACACTCATCACACACACACACACACACAGAAACACACATCATTCACACTGTTCTCTCTATCTCTCTCTCTCTCTCTGTATCTCTCTATCTGTCTCTCTTTCTGTATCTCTCTCTCTCTGTATTTGTCTGTCTCTCTTTATCTGTCTGTCTCTCTCTGTATCTGTCTGTCTCTCTCTTTCTGTATCTCTCTCTCTCTGTATCTGTCTGTCTCTCTCTTTCTGTATCTCTCTCTCTCTGTATCTGTCTGTCTCTCTCTGTTTCTCTCTGCCTCTGTATCTGTCTCTCTGTATATATCTCTTCTCTGTATCTCTCTCTCTGTATCTCTCTCTGTCTCTCTCTTTCTGTATCTCTCTCTCTCTGTATCTGTCTCTCTCTCTATCTCTCCCTCTCTGTATCTCTCTCTTTCTCTGTCTGTCTCTCTGTATCTCTCTCTCTCTGTATCTCTCATTTTCTGTATCTCTCTCTCTCTGTATCTCTCTCTTTCTCTGTATGTCTCGCTGTATATCTCTCTCTCTCTCTCTCGTCTATCTTTGTATCTGGGTCTCTGTATATATCTCTCTCTGTATCTCTGTATCTCTCTTTCTCTGTATCTGTCTCTCTCTCTATATATATATATCTCTGTATCTCTTTCTCTGTATCTCTCTCTTTCTGTATCTCTCTCTCTCTGTATCTGTCTCTCTCTGTATCTCTCCCTCTCTCTGTATCTCTCTCTTTCTCTGTATCTGTCTCGCTGTATATATATCTCTCTCTCTCTGTATCTTTCTCTTTCTCTGTATCTGTCTCTCTGTATATCTCTCTCTCTCTCTCTGTACTTCTCTTTCTCTCTGTATCTCTCTCTCGTACAGAATGTGGTGATGCTGATGAGTGATGTTGTCGACTGGATCATCCCCGACATCCCTAAAGACATCAGCGTGCAGATCCACAAAGAGAAGATCCTGATGGTGGATCTGTTCATGAAGGAGGAACAGGGGAAGCTGCAGGTTCTAGACAACTTGACCACTGACGGAGAGAAGGAGAACAGCTCTGCCCATGGTCCACAGCTCCGCCCACGCGCCGTCTCGCACACACAGAGCAACAGCTTCTAGCATCCGGCCAGCGTCAGCGTGTCTGTTCGCTGTACGTCCGTCTTTATCTTTGTTCTGACATTCCACAGACAGACAGGCAGGCAGGCAGACAGACAGACAGTGAGTCAGTCAGCCAGTCAGACAGACAGTGAGACAGACAGACAGACAGCCTGGCTGACTAACACAAAGCTTCCGCTTCTTCGCTCTGTGGAAAGCGGAAGTGCCGACCTGTGGATGATGCAGGGCTGTCCAGCTTTAGTCCAGCACGCTTCAGTGATTCCTTTGATCAAACACGCCTGTTCTCCAGACTCATTCGGTTTATTTATGTACCAAGACTCACGAGGGGAACCCGTCCACCTCTGCAGTTAGGACAGAACCAGGAAAGTTCAGAGTATAAAATGGATTAACAGATAGACTGAGACTGACTGACGATCAGTGTTGGACGTTCATCAGAGTGACTGAACTGACTGCTGTGTTCAACATACAGAACATAGAACATTTACCTGAAATCAATGTGAGAACTTGGTAGGAGTTCAACGTGAACAATCCAGAAACAAATGGCTGTCCAGCTGGTGTGATTAGACCAATTAGTGACTAATTAACCAATTTAAATTGAAATTAGTGAATTAAAGACAGCATAAAACAGTATCAGTTCACTGATAATATCATACGTCACTGCAGTGGCTCTCAGACCGGTTCCCCAGACGCTCCGCATGTTTGCTCAGTGCCGACTCCCAGCACCAAGAGATTAGAACAAAAACATGGACCAGCTGGGGTTCCTGAGGACCATTATGAGAACCACTTTGAGAACCAGTTTGAGAACTACTGCAATATGTGTACTGAAATACTGCAGCAGTTCATCTGCCAAAGTCCAAATATCAGATCAGCCTCTCTGGGTTTAGACGTTGCTGCAGGGCTAAAGAGGCCTAACAGGTCCAGAGTTCAGGAGGAACTAAAGCAGAACGCAGCAGCTGAAGTTACCAGGTTTAGTGTGTTTGAGAAGGTAAAGCACCACAAATACGTTTATTTTATTTATATAAACACAGAAAATCACACAAAAACAAGATCCTATGCAGATAAACTGACCAGTGCAGTTTACCGCAGACTAATAAATCAGCTGCCCTTTCAGATGAAGCTGGACACCCCTGACCGACACTGCGGCGGACCACAAACAAAACAATGGGTCAGCTCTGTTACCTCTATTGCACAGCTGTCCTGAGTAGATCAGCAGACGTTTCTCATTATTCAGTCACACTGTACGTCTTTAATGTATCCCATTCTCAAAGTGATAACGAGGTTCTGCTTGTAGATGTTCAATGGTGAGAAAATGGAGTTCCTGGGCTTCGGTTCTGAACACTTTATTGTCTTCTTGTAATTTTGTTTTCTGTGTCTGATCTGGCCCCATTCATATTTTCACATTAAACTCTGCTGGATTTGATTGTGATTTTAATTACAAACTAAGATGTTTAACTGAACCAGCACACAGTTGAGTGAAGTGTGTTGAATATTTCTATGAATTATTCCCATAAACAACCATTAATACTGTAATAAGTGCATATACTAAAACAAACCAGAAACATGGCAGTGCGTGTTATTTTTAAAACCTGTTATTAATTCCATGTTTTCTTCATTTCAGCAGAATTACTACTGCAGTTCAGATCTACTGTGGATCAGATCTAGTGTAGTTTAGATCTACTGTGGTTCAGATCTACTGTGGATCAGATCTAGTGTAGTTTAGATCTACTGTGGTTCAGATCTACTGTGGATCAGATCTAGTGTAGTTTAGATCTACTGCGGTTCAGATCTACTGTTGATCAGATTTACTGTAGTTTGAATCTACTGCGGTTCAGATCTACTGTTGATCAGATCTACTGTAGTTTAGATCTACTGCGGTTCAGAACGGCTAATATCTGCTGATTGTAATGTTTTTCTAAACACAGATGACGTTTATTCTTGAGCTAAATTACACAGTTAATTGTTTCTAGACTAATGCTCTAAACAAAAAGGGCTAAACTTGCTTCTGAAGTTTTAAAAAGCTCTTATCTCAATTTCAGCTGGAATGTAATAGGAATTAATTTTAGCAAAATTAATTCAATAAAGTATGAATGAAGAACCTTAACTTTCTGGCGAACGGAGCCAAAACACAGTGTCAGATGACGGAGACGTTTCTGAAGGGAACGGATGCGGTGTTCCACACTTACGGGTTTAACTGCCATTCCATATATTCCAGAGCGAGAAAGTCCAGCACTGTGGTAGACATTAAGGTTCTAACTCCATAACATTAATGTTCTACCTACAAAGTGTTAAGGTTCTTACTACAAAAGATCAGCGTACTACCTACAAATCAAACATCACAACAAAATATTTAAGTCTCAAATACCAAAACAAAGTCTTATCCAAAACATTGACGTTCTGATGTTCTGTAACATTGGTTCTTACTCCAAAATGTTAAGGTTCTAGTTACAAAATATCGTGACTCAAACTATAAATCATTGCCATCATAACTCAAACATTAAGGTGTTAATTATGAAACATTAAGTTCCTGCCTCCTAACTGTTACGGTTCTAGCTACAAAACATTAAAACTGCTAACTCCAACAGTGGTTTAAAGAACCAACTCCTACTCCAACAAGTAAGAAAATAATAAAGTTCTAAACAGTGATGTCCTACAAGGGGTTGAGGTTCTAATTACAAAGTGTTAAAGTTCTAACTCCACGCTGTTTCAGAGCTGGACCAGGAATCCTGTTCTAATCTGCAATGTTCCCGACTACAGCAGTATTTGAAATGTTCTAAACTGGTTCCCTGTTTGCAGGATTTGTGTTTCGTTTTGTATTTTCTTATTTTTATATACAGTAAATAACAGTTCATATTTATATCTTCTGTGCTCAGTTAAAGGGTTTTATTAGAATGTGCTCAGTGTCCAGTTGGCATGTTTGGTGAGAAAAGATTTTTGGAGTGAACTTTATACACAATCACAGCAGAGTGTCAGTCTGACCGGAGAACCAGAGAACTGGCTACATATCGCTCCTCCAGGAGAATATATACATTTAAATCAGTGGATCAGTGGAGGGTTTTGGGTCTTTAGGATCGGAGGAGGGTTTGGGGTCAGTGGAGGGTTTGGGGTCAGTGAAACTGATGACATTCTTATTTGACAGGACACTAATGTCCCTCCACAGCACTAATTCGGTGAAACTGAATCAGGCTGACAGTCCAGCTGTGATGACCAACATGCAGTTGCAGTCAGAAGTTTGGACACACTCACTCACAAAGGATTTTTACTGTTTCCACCATTTTAAAACAGCATTGAGAACAAAACTAAAAAAGTGTTTAACATTTTTAGTTTTTAATCTTAGATCAGAACGTCTAAGATTCTGAAAAACATACTTTCAGGTGGTTCAGTGGTTCCGTGGTGCAGTAGAACACTGAAATAGAACGCTTTAGCGTAGCAGCAGAACCTTTAGAGCGAGGTTGTGGGCTGGTGGGGCTGCAGGTTTACATTTCCTGATCAGTGGAATCACTGAACAAAGGTTAAGAGCAGCTGATTAGAGCCGTTCAATCAGACGATCTTCAGCTTCTTAAGAATGAAAACCTGAAGCCACACAAACGCGCCAAAGCTCTGATCACTGCAGTATGAAATATTAAAGCTTTTCTCATCAGCGAGGACACTGAGTCACATCAGGAGCTACTACACTGTTTATTTTCTCTTTTTTCTCTCTTTTTAAAAGAAGACGTATGTTTACAGTCAGCACTGTCTGCTGGATCTGAAATACAGATGTTCCTCTGCTCGCCTTACTACGAATCATGTACACTCTTTTATAGGCTCTTTTATAGCTAGACAACTGTTTGATAGCTGCAGACTGTAATGTACTACAATCCTGTAATTCTATAGAATAATTTTAATGAAAATGAATAAAATGTAAAATTGAGTTGTGGATTGTTCTGAAATGATTCTTTGGGAAGTTCCAGCAAACACGTGAACCGGAGTCTGGAGGGCCTTTTAGAACCGTTATTTACTAGTTTTCTCTACTGGACGCCTGATGCATAATCACAGAAGAATTAACAATTTTTGTATATTATTGATCAAAATGTCCTTTTTTTAGGTAAAGGCAGGCGAGGTGTTGACCTGCTGATTGGTTTCACTTTTAGCCTTGTGTTACATTTTTAACCACCGTCAGTTAATAAACATGTTTATTATCCATTTCAGCAAAAATAGTAAAAGCTGAAACTTTTACCGGATCGATGGTCAGAAAGATGAAACTTTAAATCAAAACTCTGAATGTTTGTGAGTTTTGGACAGCCTGGTCAGTGTGAAGTGGTCCAGCTGTGAGAGAGCACAGAGGCTTTTACTGAGCGTTCACAGGAAGCACTTTTCAGAGTAAATTTAGAAAATGTTCCATCTCTCTTGTGCTCCGTTTCCTCCTGTTGATAGTTCTGACTAAACTGATGAGCGAGACACTAAACAAACGGTCACTTTAACTGGAAATTTGTTGCGAAGATCAAAAGGGCCTCAGTGTTTAAGAAGGTAAAGGAGACGTATCTTTTATTTAGTCTGCTTTTGTCCTTTCCTGGACAGAAGAACTGCGTTTATAGCCAGACCCCAAAAACGGCCTCCAAACGTACATTTCACCTTTAGCAGCTCACAGTCGCTAACTGACCTCTCAACACCTCACCTGCTTAGCTCACCTGGTCATCTCGCCTGGTCACCTCACCGGTCACTTTATCTCTGTTTACTTCACCTGTTCCCTTGGTCTATTCTGCTGGTCACTTCACCTCTGTTTATTTTCCTTGGTCACCTCACCTGGTCACTCCTCTTTCCCTCATTTGTTCACCTTTGTACACTTCATGTGGTCACTTCACCTGGGGGTTTTTACACAAAGCAAGCCAACTTAATAAGCTTGGCTAATTTCAGTAAATGCGGCAAATCTTTGTCGAATTCAGTTCCACTGATCTTAAGCTCCACTTTGTTACTATGACAACACAAGCTTTTGGACAAACCTGCTCTGTACTGGCTGAAGCTGAGGCCTAGCAGAGCATAAACAATTCTACTGGACAAGCCGTGACATCATAGACTCGTCAGGTTAAAAAACACTGTAGACTAACGTTCTGCCTCAATACTGTCTGATACTCCGCTGCATACAGAGTGAATACATTTTACATTTCACTATGAATGTAGTATATTAAAATATTATGAATATAAAATATATAAGCAAAATAATGTACTGCGGGGTCTAATAAAATTTGACAGAAGAAAATTACTTTTTTTAAAAATAGCTTCTGCTTAAAAAGTCAAATATAAGCAATTACAGGTTCAATTTAGAATTAGTTAAAAAAAGGTTTAGAGGAATTTAATCATTGTTAGTTATTGGTATGAAAAATAAACTAATATAGAGATATAAAAAGTCTTTAACTGCATGAAGGTGGTTTAAATCGGTGTAAAGATATTACAGACCCCCAAAATATTCAGAACTGTCGTCTGTGTAAATTTAACTGCTGTGTTTACT